TCACTACAAAAAAGTTGAGAAAATATTTTTTTAAACACTGGCCCATTCTGAAAGCAGATCCTGTTCTGAATAAACTACTGACAGATTATCCTAAATTCGTTTACAGAAAGGCACCTTCCTTGAGGACAAGGTTGGTGAAGAATATACTTGACCCACCGGGTAGGACAAATAAAATTACCTTTCTTGACCAGAAAGGCTTTTTCCCATGCAAACATTGTTATGCATGCAGAGAAACAAAAGGAAAAAACCTGAAACGCAAGACATTTAAGGCTAATTATGATGGAACAGAATTCATGATCAAAGATTTTATATCTTGTCGTACTGAAGGGGTTGTCTACTGTTTAGAATGCAAGTGCGGACTCCAATATATAGGGAGGACCAAAAGACCCTTGTGGAAGTGCATAAGGGAACATGTTGAAAACATAAAAAAAGGGTTTCCGAAATACAGTGTTTCTAGACATTTTTTAAAACAACATAATAAAGACTCCTCAGGTCTGAAATTCTGAGGCATAGAAAAATATGTCAATATGGCAGTAATATAATAAGATCCCTTAGTAAATCAGAATCTAGGTGGATTTATATCATGCATACACAGGTACCTTATGGCCTCAATGTGGAGTTTGATCTTAATTGTTTTATTAGTGATTTTTAACAATTTATCAGTTTTTTGGCCTCTATTTTAGCAGTTTTTTAGAGTGGTCCCGTTGTTTATTATATAGTTTATTGCCGTGTATTTTAGAATATTTATGATGCAGTTGATATACCCTTAACTTTAGAATCAGTGGATTTAGTAGGGGGGTATTTCTTAATGTGAACCCAAGCTATGGGTGTATAGCATAAAAAACTTCCTTGTCCAGGAATAGCCACTAGGAATTCTTCACTATGTTCCCCTATGATCCGAGTGATGGGCTTCAGTAAAATGGCCGCCGGGAGCCCGCCCTCTCATTAGGAGCATTCCCTGGCAGCTCCTATTTAAACATCAAGGTCACCAGTGGGCGTTAACCCTGATGAAGTCACGAGGCACATGACGCAACACGTCGGTACGCCATTTCCGGTACGAGGTGACGCACTTCCAGACGCAGCGACCATATTGCTACACCCAATAACCATGCAGTACACCCATAGGATGTGGTGACAGGTGTTTTCTATTGGGAATACATGTGACTGCAATTTTAAATTCATCTAATTCAAATAAAAAAGATTACTGCACTATGGAAGGATCTTTGCTTTGTATCTCATGTATGTGGCCTTAAGTGGAGGTGGAGTGGATAAGGTGCGCTGGGGAGAAGTCTATATTCAATCCCATTGTCCCTTTGATGAGGAGCGGAGTTGAGAGGATCTGGTATTGATAATCATAGCCTTTTGGCCCTGTGCGGGTCAATGTGTGGAGGTGAGCAGGCATTGCTGGCATTTGAGGATCTTTTTCCACTGAGCACTATTGTGTTGGCACGGCTTGTATTATATAGCACGAGAGTATAGCACATGCCTTAGATTTGAGTTATAGCGCTTCACTATATATTTAATTTTGCCCTTACATTGGTGACCGATGGGAGAAGGACCCCCTTATATCAGTGGTCAGTGTAGCGGTCCATTACATTGGTGACCAATGGGAGAAGGACCCCCTTATATTAGTGGTCAGTGTAGCGGTCCATTACATTGGTGACCGATGGGAAAAGGACCCCCTTATATCAGTGGTCATTGTAGCGGTCCCTTATACTGGTGACCGATGGGAGAAGGACCCTCTTATATCAGTGCTCAGTGTAGCGGTCCCTTACACTGGTGACCGATGGGAGAAGGACCCCCTTATATCAGTGGTCAGTGTAGCGGTCCCTTACATTGGTGACCGATGGGAGAAGGACCCCCTTATATCAGTGGTCAGTGTAGCGGTCCCTTACATTGGTGACCGATGGGAGAAGGACCCCCTTATATCAGTAGTCAGTGTAGTGGTCCCTTACATTGGTGACCGATGGGAGAAGGACCCCCTTATATCAGTGGTCAGTGTAGAGGTCCCTTACATTGGTGACCGATGGGAAAAAGGACCCTCTTATCTCAGTGGTCAGTGTAGCGGTCCCTTACATTGGTGGTGACTGATGGGAGAAAGGACCCCCTTATATCAGTGTAGCGGTCCCTTACATTGGTGACCGATGGGAGAAGGACACCCTTATATCAGTGGTCAGTGTAGTGCACTCTGTACCCTGGGCTGTATATGATATACTCCTGACCACTGCACACTGCATACTTTGCCCTATATGGCATCCACCTGACCACTGCTCTCTGGCCCATTTTTTTTACCTCTAAAGGCTTTTAAAGCGTCACATATGAGAAACGTTTATCCTGAAGTTGAACGAGCAAAATAATTGTATATAATGAATAGGGATGGAGGCTCTACATTTTGGGTACCAGGTCACCATTATATTATTCATTGATTGGTACAAATTCTGGTCGTATTTTAATTAACACAATTATTTCCTATGATCTTCAGCTCCATTTAGTGGCCATAATGCAGTATTTGTCCCAAAACACCTCAATCAAAAAATGAGTGCAATAGCACGTAGTAGGCACTAGATGACACTGATGACTATAAGAAATCCCCATTCGCCATGCCTGAGTGAATGCTGGTCACATGACAATTTTTTTTGTGACAGAGGTATGGGTGGAACACAAAACACACAGAGATCAGGAGGGGTTTTAGGGCCCCTGGTCAAGGGGTTCTTTATTTTGGGGGGCTGAAAAACAGTCAGGTAAAGGGAAGACCACAGGGCAATTATTCCAACACCAAGAGGGACTTGCAGAAATATAAGAGTGGTAATAGGGCACATCGAGGGACAAGTCCAGAGTCCAAAGGCAACAATCCATGCACAGGAAGCAGAAGGCTGCAATTGGGTACAGCCCAGGGGCACAGGGCGGTAATATAGTACATCGGGGTATGATAAAACAAGGGTACAGTCCACCACACAGGGCAGGGATCCAGCACAGCAGGCTAGGATACGGACCAGGTACAGTCCAGTACACAGGGCAGGGATCCAGCACAGCAGGCTAGGATACGGACCAGGTACAGTCCAGCACACAGGGCAGGGATCCAGCACAGCAGGCTAGGATACGGACCAGGTACAGTCCAGCACGTGGGGCAGGGATCCAGCACAGCAGGCTAGAATACGGATCAGGTACAGTCTAGAACGTGGGGCAGGGATCCAGCACAGAAGGCTAGAATACGGACCAGGTACAGTCCAGAATGTGGGGCAGGGATCCAGCACAGCAGGCTAGAATACGGACCAGGTACAGTCCAGAACGTGGGGCAGGGATCCAGCACAGCAGGCTAGGATACGGACCAGGTACAGTGCAGCACGTGGGGCAAGGATCCAGCACAGCAGGCTAGGATACAGACCAGGTACAGTCCAGTACACATGGGCAGGGATCCAGCACAGCAGGCTAAGATACAGGTCCCAGTACACAGGGTCGGGATCCAGCACAGCAGGCTAGAATACGGACCAGGTACAGTCCAGCATGTGGGGCAGGGATCCAGCACAGCAGGCTACGATATGGACCAGGTACAACCCAGCATACAGGGCAGGGATCCAGCACAACAGGCTAGGATACAGACCAGGTACAGTTCAGCACGTGGGGAAGGTATCCACCACAGCAGGCTTAAGATATGGACCAGGTACAGTCCACCACACGGGGCAGGGATCCGGCGCAGCAGGCTAGGATACGGACCAGGTACAGTCCAGCATGTGGGGCAGGGATCCAGCACACCAGGCTAGAATATGGACCAGGTACAGTCCAGCATACGGGGCAGGGATCCGGTGTAGCAGGCTAAGATATGGACCAGGTACAGTCCAGCATGTGGGGCAGGGATCCAGCACAGAAGGCTAAGATACGGACCAGGTACAGTCCAGTACAAGGGGCAGAGATCCAACACAGCAGGCTAGGATACAGACCAGGTACAGTCCAGCACACGGGGCAGGGATCCAGCACAGCAGGGTACGATACGGACCGGGTACAGTCCAGCACACGGGGCAGAGATCCTGGCACACTAAGAGTTTAAGTCCAGGACAGAGGACCTGGCACAGTAGGAGTTTAAGTCCAGCACATGGGGCAGGGATCCAGCATAGCAGGGTACGATATGTACCGGGTAAGGTCCAGCACACAGGGCAGGGATCCTGGCACTGCAAGAGCTCAAGTCCAGCACAGAGGACCTGGCACAGTAGGAGTTGAAGTCCAGCGCAGAGGGCAGAGATCTGGGCACTGCAAGAGTTTAAGTCCAGCACATGAGGCAGGCATCCAGCATAGCAGGGTAAGATACAGACTGGGTAAGGTCCAGCACAGAGGGCAGGGATCCTGCACAGTAGGAGTTGAAGTCCAGCACAGAGGACCTGGCACAGTAGGAGTTTAAGTCCAGCACAGAGGGCAGGGATCCAGCACAGCAAGGTACAATACGGACCGGGTAAGGTCCAGCAGACCGGGTAAGGTCCAGCATACGGGGCATATATCCTGGCACACCAAGAGTTTAGATGAATCACCAGTCGATAGCAACCTCAGCCAAAGGGGTCCAGGTAGGGTGTCAGAGAAAGGAAGACCAGACAACGGAGGGCACAGGTCCTTCCCAGGTCCTCAGAGGGCAGTGTGTCCTGGCCACAGCTTCAGGACCACACAGACGGCCATTATGAGAAGAGTAGGGGTGTGGTAAGGAGAAGTAGTCCTCGGAAAAGCACTGTGGAACCTCAGGGTGAAGTAGTCCACAGGGCAGAAGATCCAGCCAATATAAGTCCTAGCAGTCCCACAGTCCAGAGAGTAGGACACAGTCCATGCGGGGAACAATCTTCAACCCCCTTCTAGTCTCCTTCCACTGGAACCTCCAGACATGGGACCCCATCACTGGAGGAAGCAGTCTGCCCCTCTCATTTGTCATCTCACACTTGTAATTCCACCAGAGCCCTGCTGGTGCCTTCTCCTGAAGAAGGATGCAATCAATTATACGCCTTCAGTGAGGAACATTTCCCTCACTCAGGACAGGAACGTGACTTCTCCCCCGTGTGATATCTCTGGTGTGAGTTAAAAGCGGACTTAAATGAAAAACATTTCCCGCACTCAGGACAAGAATACGGCTTCTCCTTTGTGTGCAATCTCTGATGTATGGAAAGATTGGATTTCGTTGAAAAATATTTCCCGCACTCAGGACAGGAATGTGGTCTCTCACCTGTGTGAGATCTCTGATGTTCGGAAAGATGGTACTTCCTTGAAAAACATTTCCCGCACTCAGGACAGGAATATGGCTTTTCCTTTGTGTGAGACTTTTGATGAGTGACCAGATCTGATTTTTGTACAAAACATTTATCGCACTCAGAACAGGAATACGGATTTTCACCCGTGTGCCATCTCTGATGTGTGTAAAGATTGGATTTGCTTGAAAAACATTTCCCGCACTCCAGACAGGAATATGGTTTCTCTCCCGTATGCATTCTCTGATGGTTATTATAATGGGTTATTTGTGAAAAACATTTCCCACACTCAGGGCAGGAATATGGTTTTTCCCCCGTATGCATTCTCTGATGGGTGTTATAATGGGATTTCTGTGAAAAACATTTCCCGCACTCAGGACAGGCATATGGCTTTTTTTTCCAGTGTGAAACCTTTGATGTGCGACCAGTTGTTGTTTTTGTATAAAACATTTCCCACACTCGGAGCAGGAAAAAGGCTTTTCTCCTGTGTGATACCTTTGATGTGTGACCAGGTCTGGTTTTTGTGCAAAACATTTCCCGCACTCGGAACAGGAATATGGCTTCTCTCCCGTGTGACATCTTTGATGGATAGACAGATTGGACTTCCTTGAAAAACATTTCCCGCACTCAGAACAGGCAAATGGCTTCTCACCTGTATGAGTTCTTTTATGCTCATTAAGTTTGTAATGAAAACGGAAACATTTCCCGCACTCAGTACAGGAGAACCTCTTCCCTGTTGGAAGGCCATCCTGGTCCCACACAGTCTGAGGTTCCTCAGGATACGAGGAATCCGATGGTCCATCTACACTGGGTGGTGCTGGATGGACATTGGAGGGAGCCGGGTTTTCTCCTGGACTATACTGTGTGATGTCCTCATCTTCTACTTTCCAGTCTGGAGACAAAGTGAGACAATCCTCGGAGGTTTTCCTCATCTCCCGGCCATGGACTAAAATACAAAGACAAAGAGGATTACTAGACAGGAGCTGATTGGTTCCCCCAAACCAGGACTCCGCCCACATCAGGAAGCTTGGTCTCTGAGGAGCTTACAAAGTGAATGGTTCCTCCTGAGCTCCAGGCTCTTGTCAGACAGAGAGAGATCCAATGAGAACTTTATCATCTGGACCAATAAGTGAGCAGTATGGATGGAGGAATGGATTTAGTGTTCCTGACCCACCTGTGCTGATCTCTGTAGGAGTGTCCTCCTCTATAAATGTCCCCGTTATTCCATCCTCCTCCATAGACTGCTGATCATCCCTCACATACGCCTTTTCTTCTGATTTCACCTCAAATTCTATATCGATTGGATCTCCACTCTACATCAAGAGAAGGAGAGAAAAATATCATCTGTAAGATAGAAGATTTATTATTGTGATATCACATAGAAAAAAATATCATCCTGTAGGGTCCACACATCATCTACATGAGTTACTTTCATGTTGTAGATGATCTATCCTACCTACCTGGTCCTTGTGAAGGACGGTGTGACCTTCCTGTGTGGAATCCCGGGAATACAGAGGACGGGGACATCTCTCTGGTGGGTTCCTGTAGCTGGATGACTCCACCATGGTGTCCTGGTACAGATCTTTGTGTACTTCTGGAAGCTCTGACTCCTCCATCACACCATCCTCCTCCTCTTTTATCTCTTCTTTACCTTCAACTGTAGAATCTCTCAGGTTTCCACTCTGAATATATAATAAAAATGACATCAATGGTAACAATGCAGATAATGTACAGATCCTAATGATACTATCAGTGATTGTTCCTCATCTACCTGATGATGGTGAGGGATGGTGTGACCTTCCTGTGTGGAATCCTGGGAATACAGAGGACAGGGACATCTCTCTGGTGGGTTCCCATGACTGGATCCATCTGTAGGAAACACACACACTGACTGAATCCATTGTTTCTATGTGTTTATCAGATGATGGGGGATCTAGGTGGATCCTCCGTACTGCTCTCTCCTTTCCAATAAAGTCTCCTCTTACCCGGTGATGTGAGGGGCGGCTGATTGTCCATCATGACGTCCTTGTAGAGGTCCTTGTGTCCTTCTAAATACTCCCACTCCTCCATAGAGAAATAGACAGTGACACCCTGACACCTTATAGGAACCTGACACACACAATGATACAGTCACCATCCAGACACATCCCTTGTCTGTTACTGGAGAATGTCCCAGAATTCCCAGCACCGCTCACCTCTCCTGTCAGCAGCTCCATCATCTTCTTGGTGACTTCTAGAATCTTCAGCATGTTGTATCTCTCAGGGTTTAGGGAGTCACATGGAGGCACTGTGATGGTCATATGACCACCTGACTTCAGAGGAGGAAATCTCTGTATTGGGGAACCAATAGGAATATCATGTTAGACTCCCAGAATCCCCCTCACCTCTCCGGTCAGGTCTGTGTGATGTCAAGTGACCTCCCAGAATCCTCACCTCTCCGGTCAGGTCCGTGTTTTATTAATAAAGATGAGAGTGATGTCACGTGACCTCCCAAAATCCTCACCTTTCCGGTCAGGTCTGTGTGATGGCATGTGACCTCCCAGAATCCTCCTCACCTCTCCGGTCAGGTCTGTGTTTTATTAATAGAGATGAGAGTGATGTCATGTGACCTCCCAGACTCCTCCTCACCTCTCCGGTCAGGTCTGCGTTTTATTAATAGAGATAAGAGTGATGTCATGTGACCTCCCAGAATCCTCCTCCCCTCTCCGGTCAGGTCTGTGTGATGTCACGTGACCTCCCAGAATCCTCCTCACCTCTCCGGTCAGGTCTGTGTTTTATTAATAGAGATAAGAATGATGTCATGTGACCTCCCAGAATCCTCCTCACCTCTCCGGTCAGCAGGTAGATGATCTCCAGGGTGAGGTTTAGTATCCTCTCAGGCATGTGACTCCGGTCCTCCTCCATCCTCATTGGTCATGTGATCTATGTGGGTTTTTCTGTAGATGGATAGCAGAGAATTACCTGGAATGTGTTGATTGTACAATGTTAGGATGGGGATATAAGGGGGTAACAGGGGACAATGGGAAAGATGTTTGTTTTGAAATCTTTGCAATTAACAATAAAAAATGAACCCCCCCGTACATAAGTATTCACAGCCTTTGCCATGACACTCAAAATTGAGCTCTGGTGCATCCTGTTCCCACTGATCATCCTTGAGATGTTTCCACAACTTAATTGCAGTCCACCTGTGGGACATTCAGTGGATTTGCATCCACCTGTGGGACATTCAGTGGATTTGCATCCACCTGTGGGACATTCAGTGGATTGGAGTCCACCTGTGGGACATTCAGTTGATTCGAGTCCTCCTGTGGGACGTTCAGTTGATTGGAGTCCACCTATGGGAAGTTCAGTTGATTTGAGTCCACCTGTGGGAAGTTCAGCTGATTGGAGTCCACCTGTGGGACGTTCAGTTGATTGGAGTCCACCTATGGGACATTCAGTTGATTGGAGTCCACCTGTGGGACATTCAGTTGATTGGACATGATTAGAAAAGGCATATACCTGTCTATAGAAGGTCCCACAGGTCACAGTGCATGTCAGAGCACAAACCAAGCCATGAAGTCCAAGGAATTGTCCGTAGACCTCCGAGACAGGATTGTATGAAGGCACAGATCTGGGGAAGGGTACAGAAACATTTCTGCAGCATTGAAGGTCCCAATGAGCACAGTGGCCTCCATCATCCATAAAAGGAAGAAGTTTGGAACCACCAGGAATCTTCCTAGAGCCGGCCGCCCGGCCAAAATGAGCGATGGAGGGAGAAGGGCCTTAGCCAGGGAGGTAACCAAGCACTCAATGGTCACTCTGAAAGAGCTCTAGTGTTTCTCTATGAAGAGAGGAGAACCTTCCAGAAGAACCACCATCTCTGCAGCACTCCACCAATCAGGCCTGTATGGTAGAGAGGCCAGACGGAAGCCACTCCTCAGTAAAAGGCAAATGGCAGCCCGCCTGGAGTTTGCCAAAAGGCACCTGAGGGTCTCTCAGACCATGAGAAACAAAACTCTCTGGTCTGATGGAACAAAGATTGAACTCTTTGGCCTGAATGCCAAGCGTCATGTCTGGAGGAAATCAGGCACCGCTCACCACCTGGCCATTACCATCCCTACTGTGAAGCATGGTAGTGGCAGCATCATGCTGTGGGGATGGAACTGGGAGACTAGTCATGATGGAAGGAAAGATGAATGCAGCAATATACAGAGACATCCTTGATTAGAACCTGTTCCAGAGCACTCTGGACCTTAGACTGGGGCAACGGTTCATCTTCCAACAGGACAACGACCCTAATCACACAGCCCACATAACAAAGGAGTGGCTACGGGCCGACTGTGGGAATGTCATGGAGTGGTCCAGCCAGAGCCCAGACTTGAACCGGACTGAACATCTCTGAAGAGATCTGAAAATGGCGGTGCACCGACCCTCCCTATCCAACCTGATGGAGCTGGAGAGGTCCTGAAAAGAATGGGAGAAATCGGCCAAAATAGGTGAGCCAAGCTTGTAGCATCATACTCCAAACGACGCGAGGCCGGAATTGGTGTTAAAGGGGCTGCAGAGGACTGGGCAAAGGCTAGGAAGACTTATGGACATGGGGGGGGGGGGGGGGGGGGCTGAGAAGACTTATGGACATGGGGGGGCTGGGAAGACTTATGGACATGGGGGGGGGCTGAGAAGACTTATGGACATGGGGGGGCTGGGAATACTTATGTACATGGGGGGTTTTTTTTTTTTTTGTTTTTTAGTTTTAATAAATTGCAAAAATTTCAAAATGAACTTCTTTCCCGTTGTCATTATGGGGTATTGTTTGTAGAATGTGGAGGAAAAAATTAATTTAATCCATTCTGGATGGGGGGAAGAGGGCGGACGTGACGGTAGAGGAAGAGGATGGAGGTGGAGGAAGAGGACGGACGTGACGGTGGAGGAAGAGGATGGATGGGACGGTGAGGGAAGAGGACGGGAGTGATGGTGGGGGAAGAGGACGGACGTGATGGTGGAGGAAGAGGACGGAGGTGGAGGAAGAGGACGGACGCGACGGTGGAAGGAGAGGACGGGCGCGACGGTGGGAAGGAGAGGACGGGCGCGACGGTGAAAGGAGAGGACGGGCGCGACGGTGGAGGAAGAGGACTTAAGCGACGGCGGAGGAAGAGGACGGACGCGACGGCGGAGGAAGAGGACGGACGCGGCGGAGAAAGAGGACGGACGCGGCGGCGGAGGAGGAAGAGGACGGACGCGGCGGCGGAGGAAGAGGACGGACGCGGCGGCGGAGGAAGAGGACGGACGCGGCGGCGGAGGAAGACGGGCGCGACGGCGGAGGAAGAGGACGGGCGCGACGGTGGAGGAAGAGGACGGGCGCGACGACGGTGGAGGAAGAGGACGGACGCGACGGTGGAGGAAGAGGACAGATGTGACAGTGGAGGACAGACATGACGGGGGGTTACTGGGTGCAAATAGAAAATAGGATCTTATTACCTCCTCTGCTGCAAGTTCTACTCTCCTACAGACTGGAATGTCATATCTGTACCTGACATCACTTCCTGTCTGTACCTGACATTACTTCCTGTCTTCCATAGAGACTTCCTGTCTGGGTAGAAGTGAGATCCCCACCTTGTGGAGCTCAGAGGAACTGCAGCCCCAAGAAACGTCTTATATTGTGATTATTGGCTATGCTTTTGGCATTTTGAATGTTTTCT